GGCCCAGGAAAGACAAGATAGCCGCTCCCATTGCCCAACCCTTCACTCAGGTAGAGACGGGTGGTCCGGTAAATTATCGAAGAACAAAAGATCCATTTGTTCCTTTGAAAAACATTAAAGTGAGAATGTGTGTAGCTTGTGGAGATTTTATTACGTTAATAAAAATAATTTTTAAGAACAACTGTAAATTGAGTAGAAAGTTGTATTTAAAAGTCTCGTTCAAGTTTTAGGTGGCGGGTGCTCTGGGAATAGATGCGTGGCGCTCCAGAGAACGATAACGAGTGTGTCGTGCTTCCTCTTCCTGTCAGGTGACTCCTCCAGCAGAGCGGGAGCCGACCAGAGTGACGGCTGCTCCAGCTCCTGTCGCTGTTCTCAGACTCCCGACACCAAAAACACAGAAATCCTTCAGCCTGCAGGTAAAACACCGTCTGATCCCGTCTCGTTATCGGTGGATTTAGTATTTGTGTCCCACCGGAAGAACTTATTTTATTTCTAGAACCACTTTATGTTCAGTTGGCTGCAGGATATCGAACTTTCAGAAATGAAGCCATGCATATTTTAGAATTTTTAGTTTGGTCCATCTGCTAACAATGTAGGTGGTACAGTCATTGATGGAAAGTGTGTGTTTGTGTGAAGGTGAGCATGGAGCCGTCGGTGTTCCTGGAGGTGGAGAACGAGGTGTCGGTGGTGGCGGGTTCGAAGCTCAGTCAGCTGCGATGCTCCAGAGACGGACGAGAGTGGAACACGCTGCTGCCCAGCTCAGTGGTCACCGCTGCAGGAAGCAGGTTCGAGGCTCCACTCAGACCTCACGCAGATGATGAGTCTTCAGTCGATTCACTTCTTCTGTTCATCAACAACACAGAATCATTTTTTCCCTGCTCTTCCTCCTCAGTGACGTCCTTGCCGTCGCCTGCGAGGACAGGATGTTGTCTGTGTTCTCGTCCTGCGGTCGACGGCTGCTTCCTGCCATCCAGCTGGGCACACCTGTGTCCGCTCTGCACTGTGCGGCCCACTTCGTCATGGCTCTGACGGCTGGAGCGACACTCTCCGTCTGGTCAGTGCTCGTCCACGTTGATAGTGTATTTATTCAGGATGTGTTACAGGTGGTTGGTCTTTTAAACCGGTTTCACTTTATTTATCTGTTTGTCTTTGCAGGGACGTTCAGAAACAGAAGGCTCTGGTGAAGAACGAGTCTCTGCGGAACATTTTATCTGGTGAGACACGTCCAGGAACAGTTTGTATCATTGTAGGAAATACACTTAGAAACACGAGAACAAGAACAACAGGTTTTATTGAGGTGTTCATTTAAAATGGGTTCTTTCCGTCTTTCTTCATTATTTAAATGTTTGAGATGTTTGACGGATTCATTTATCACAATAATCCTGAGTGAGTCTGCAGAGTCCAGTCGTGTTCTTTGTCACTAAAAACGTCTCGTTTGCAGGTGTTGACATCACCGTGTCTCAGTCTCTGCTGACTCAGCAGGGGGTCCCCGTCATCGGACTCTCCAACGGGAAGTCGTACTGCTTCAGCTCCTCGCTCGAGACTTGGTGAGACGCCGAATGCTGCGCTGGTTTTGTTCTCGCGTTTGTTTGAGCGTCACACGTATGCAGCTGTTGTGAATTATGGACAGAAGCTCCTGAAATTTGGAAATGATAGTTTTTTGCCTTAAAGGTTCAGTGTATAGGATTTAGTGACATCTAGTGGTGAAGTGTCTCTAAAAGAAAGAGTAGAAATAAAATACAAACAAGGCACATGGAGCCAAATCATCTACTACAAGTAATACTGTGTTTTTATATTTGTAGATGTATACTTTGAAATGTGTTTTTGTTTTTTATAGTTAATAACCTGTTCTCTGTCTCGCTCAGGACTCTGATAGCAGATAAAGGAGACTCGCTGGTTCAGTGTGCAGACTTCAGGAGCTGCCTACCTACCCATGATGCACCTGTGTCCTCTGGGCCACTGGCTGTGATGCAGGGACGCAACCTCAAGTACGACAGATTTTAATCTCTGAGTCAGACTCTCAAACTCAACGTGTCCTCGATTATAAGAGCATGTTTCAGACTGAGGCAGCAGAGGATTTAAACCGTGTCTTCATGTCAGTGATGATGATGAGAAACTCTCTGCTCCCTGCAGTGCTGGTCGTCTGGCGTCCCGGCTCTCCTCCACTCCTCACCACCTCCAGCAGAGCATGACGCTGGCCTTCCTAGAGAATCAGCTGGCGTCGGCTCTGGCCCTGCAGTCGGCGCAGGAGTATCGATACTGGCTACTCATCTACGCCCGATTCCTCGTCAACGAAGGTTCTGAACCATTTCTGTCTCACCACTTACTACTTTGATGAACGTAATACTGACGTGTGAAGAGATCAACGCCTCCTCTGACAGTTTGTGTGTCTCCTCCCCCCAGGCTCAGAGTATCGTCTCAGAGAACTCTGTAAGGAGCTGCTGGGTCCCGTCCACAAATCTGCTGCCACGTCCTGGGAGCCCACGACTCTGGTACGTTAGCGACGCCCTGCTGCTCATCGGTTAACACGTTACGACCTGAGGGGCTGGAAAAAAACTCTGAAACCTTCTGTCCGAGGTTTTCTGAAGATCCGACCGACGTTTACAAAAACTTTAACGTCTTAACGTAAATAAACCTCTTGAAGGTTTCCTCTGGGTCCGAACCTTCTTCATAGTTATTCTCATCAGTGAAACTCTGCTGTCATATCGACTTCGCTCCGTCATTGTCCGAAACTCTTTGAAACTCGGACTAAGAGCATTTCGCCTCCATGAGTGTTTCAGGGAGAAGCAGACATCGCTCTCGGTCTTAACGTTATCTTGTCCTCTGTGTTTTCAGGGTCTGCGTAAGCGGGAGTTGCTGCGGGAGGTTTTACCCGTCATCGGAGAAAACCTGCGATTCCAGAGACTGTTCACGGAGTACCAGGACCAGCTGGAGCTGCTGCGCAACAAATAACACTCACACTGACTCACACACTCGGACTCGTCGTGGAAGTAGTTTGTTTGTCTCGGCTCGGGTAAACTCTGACTGTTTCATCAACTTGGGAAGCTTGAAACGCTGTTGAGGCTGAGGCCAGTCACAGCTTTTTACTCACTGGGACGTTTCAGTGCCGTCGCTCACTGGGGACAAATGGGTGCTTCTTCTTCTTCGTTTCTTTTTTTTTCTTCTTATCACATTTGTTCACTAACGTCTTTTGTCTGTTATCTGACCTATGCACCTCCCTCCTGCTAATCATGAACCTTCGGAGAGAAACGCAGAGACAGAAAAGGTCCTGTCGTCTTGAGCTGAGACGCTCGTGGAAGACGAATGTGAGTCAGAGTGGAGGTAGAGGAGCAATATGCTTGTCCCAAAGTGATGCCTTCAAGTGTCGACGTGAACACACACCAGTTTCTGCCGGGTGGAGAACACACAGCACAGAGGCTGACGTCGCTGAATCTGTGACGGTTTCCTGGCTGCCTTCAAAAGTGACGGACGGAACGCCACAGCGAGAAACTTAACTCCACACCCCCACCGCACTGACGGACAGGATGGATCTCTGGGAAATGGAGTCAGAAAGGGATCTCAGATGTTAAAGTGATTTCACTTTGCTACTGATTCAAATCAATAAAAACGACCGTGTAGATGTTAGAAATCGAACCCAACTGATTTCACGTTTGGTTTAACATGAACATTAATCAGAGTCCGGCTCCGCCCACACTGACACGTTTAACTTTTTTTAAAGTCTTTGGCATGGTTGCCGTGGTTACGCCTGGTGAGAGTTCTCCAGCCTCTGAACCAGAGATTTGTGTAAACTGGTTTTAGTTTGAAAACTCTGGGGTTGTTTTAATCTGGACCAACAGAAACTGAGACTTCAGTAAACGACGTTCTCTTCCTGATTGGTTCTCATCAGTCACATGACTCCAGCGGTGAAGACAAAGCGCCGCTAACACTTCCACCTCGTCGTCGCTCAGAGAACAGAAATCCCTGCTCTGACTTTTCACCACCGCTGTTCTTTTCTGTAACTAAGCCACGAACTGCAGAGGAGACAATCTACTTCCTGTTTACATCACATGGTCACAAGTGTTGAAAGGAAAACGTTTTGTTGTGGACGGAGACCAAATAGTAAAAAAAAAAAAAAAAAAGCTGGACACCTTTTTTTATTGAAAGACATTTTAAAGTCACGTCACGGCTCAAAAATCAAAAACATCCGATGTTTGAACGTTTTGTTAACCGAGGATTTAACAGTGAATGAGCTCAGTCACATTTTGTTGTGATGGATAAATAAAGTTATTAATCTTTATTAACGACATTTCACATCATATTTTCCGTCCTGTCTCGTCCTGCAGGTGTTTATCTGAACTGAAATGTTTTCTGAAACAAACAAGTCAACAGATTTTATTTGAACCACTTTGCATCAGAAACATTCACGTGTCAGAATCCTCTCCTGCGTGTTCCCGTTAAACTCCGTCACCGTCAAACACTATAAATTCTGCTTGTTTACTCTGAACCAGTGTTCGAGCGTTTAGATCGTAGCGTCGTCTTATTCCTGAGATCATGTGAGCATCAGAGAACCAGTGGAGAAATGTTATATGGATTATTTGGATGCGTCTCTTCTGTAAATAAGCTCGAGTTAGAAACGCAGCCGACACTTTTACAGGCTGATTCTTTTCTTTCTTTTTTTTGTTTCACTTTGTATCGTGTGCCGGTAAAAACCACTGAAAATCAGATTTTCAGGACTTAAGGGGGAAAAGTTGTTTATTTTTGTCTCACATCCATTAACTTGACATTTTAACAGGTTTCAAACTTCACTTGAAGAATTTAAGTTCTTGTGTTTGTCTGCAGCAGCTCTGTGTGTGTGTGTGTGTGAATCCCCTCTGTACAGCATTTCTTCTTTCTTTTTTTCTGTTTGTCATTTTTAAATGTTTGTACGAGGCAAATTTCTTTTGTTTCCATTTTCTATAAGAAAAGAAAAAGCGGATCTTTTTTGCTTTTGATGAAAGAAACTTAAAATTAAACAAATGAGGAACATTTGGGCTTTTGGTCGTTTTTCTTCACTCATAAGAAATAATGTTAAAAAGAAAGAAATCCAACCACCGTGTTGAAACAAAGTCAAAATGTTAACGTGAATTTAATTCCAGAAGATGATTTGCTCATGTGAACGTCTACGGGGCCAACGTGATATTGTTTTTAAGGTTTATCACATTAACAATTGTTGAACATCACAGATTGTCGGTTTTTGATTTTCAGAAAAAGGTGAAGAATTTAACTGAAATTAGAACTTTTATTTTCACGAGCTAATGATTTCAACACGTGTTTTAAAAGAACCTCACACCGGGCACGTTCAACATTTCCTCCTGTAACTTCTTCATCTTGAATTCTGAAGTGAGTTAAACTCCGAGAGCTTCAACTCCACAACTTTATACGAACAAGCAGCCGCTCACACGACCGGAGGTAATTTAACCGTTGCAAGTGATTCCCTCCATCTGAAGCTGGTTCGTCGTGTTCAAAGTGAAACCTATTTAATCATCCGTCTGAGGATTGGCCTCTTCAGGTTCTGAGGGCGGAGGCTGGAGCTCAGAGGTCAGAGGTTGGAGTTGATGCCGATCCAGTGTCTGATCAGCTGGTGAGCGATGGTCTGTCTGGGAGGGACGGTGAAGGTCGGAGACTCGGCTCTGAACAGAGAGTCGATCACCTGCAGAGACAATATCAAATAAGACCGATCGTCTCCTCACGGAATAAAAATCAGTCTCAGGTCAGTTTCATCCTCTGCTGCTCTACATCACTTACGTTCGATGACGATCAAAGCTTTCTTCAGGTGTTACTATTTAACTCAAATGACGGTTTAAACCTTTATTTATTTTGATACCAGTAATTTTACTTTAGTGAAAATGAGTCTTATTGATTTTAACACAGTCTGATGAAGACCATGAGAAACAGCTGAAAGCTCCAGTGAGAGAAACGGGTGAGTTGTAAAGTTCGTCATCAGTAATACTGAAACTTTTTATTCTCATTATTCTGAATATTCTTATCATCGGTAGTTGCAGTAGGTATTTTCTGGGGTTGTACCTGTTGCCGTGGGAACCACCGGGCCTCCTCGATCTCGTTCTCGTCCACCCGGATGTCCGTCGATATGGCGACAGAGAGGCAGCCAATCATGAGGCTGGAGGGCATCGGCCACGGCTGACAGGAGACGTACTGAACGGGTCCGACCTTCACGCCGCTCTCCTCCTCCACCTCCCTCCTCACCGCCTCCTCCATCGTCTCCCCTGCAGGAGCCCGAGGGGGAGGAGGTGAGTTTGTTTGTTTGTGTGTGTGTGTGTGTGTGTGTGTGTGTGTGTGTGTGTGTGTGTGTGTGTGTGTGTGTGTGTGTGTGTGTGTGTCAGTTACCAGGCTCGATGAAACCAGCCAGACAGGAGAACATGCCGACAGGAAAGATCTTCTTCCTGCCCAGTAAACACTGGTTTCCATCAGGGTGAATCACCAACATGATGACGACCGGGTCTGAAGACGAAGATACTGAATTCATCATCATCATCATCATCATCATCATCATCACCACGTTGACATCATTCTTATTGAACCATGACGTCACAACGTTCAGTGAACGAGCTTCGTTGAGTCCAAGTAAGTTAAGTTAGTTAAACTTGTGCGGATCTTCGTACCGACTCGTGGGTAGCAGGTGTTGTGGACGCCCCTCAGGCTCCTGCAGTCGGAGTTCAGGCAGCTCCTCTTGTGTCCTCCCTCCTCCAGCCTGGTGCTGCTGCCGCACGTCGGACAGAAGCTGTAGCGGCTGTGCCACGCCAGCACCGAGCGAGCCTGAGCCACCACGCCTGGACGAGCAGGAGACAGAACGAGAGGACGGAGACACGCTGAAGAGGCTGAGCTTCATTTAGAGAAACAACAACAAATCAACAATCACCATCGTCTTCCTCACCGGCCTCTTCCTCGCTCAGTTTCAGCAGATCTCTGTTCGGTGTCTTCGGGAACAAACAGTTCTTTTCTCTGCAGCGTTTCAGAAGCTCAGCCGCGTCTTCATCTGTGCCGACGGCAAACCAAGCTGGAGGCTCCTTACTGATCTCCTGTGTCTGAGGGGAGGAGGAGGAGGAGGAGGAGGAGGAGGAGGAGGGTGTCTTCCTCCTCTCCACTCCTAAGAAGACCAGCACAGTGGCAGGTTTCTGGAGAAGATCTCTCACGGCCTCATATCTGAACCGACACAGCTTTGTTTCCTGTTGGACATAGAGTCACCATCAAAGACTGAAGCATGTCTTCGTCTGAGTCAAAGTGCTGACGTCCAACTCGTCTTCAGAACATTAGTATGACTGATTGTTTTGGGTCTCGTACCTCTGTCCCGTCGCCCTCGGAGCAGCTGACCATGGGGCTGAGGCTGGAGAACAGCAGGTAGACAGTATCTGCGTCCTTCTGTCTCACCTCCATCCACTCTTTGTCCGTCCTCTTCGCGCTCAGCCGGTCCAGCGTCTCCCTGCCGAAGTAGTTTTCCTGCGGGACGAGGTCGGAGCCCGGCAGAACTCGCAGGCAGCCGTCGTCCGTCCGACCCAGGAGGTTGGAGATGTGTCGGTGGCCCCAGAACTTGGCGACGTCGTAGGCCGTCTGTGACGAAGCGTTCACGGAGAACTTGTCACAGCTGGAAGACGGAGGACGAAAAGGTTCAAGTCTTGTCTCAGCTTGAACATTTCTTTATATAGAAGTCAAGAATTCAATCAATGGTATTCAAACAAAAAGGAAGAGACAATTAATTAAAAGCAAGACGAGAGATAAGTCTTGAGTTGTTTCAGAATAAAGGCGCTGAACCACATGTGATAAAGTACATTACAGTAGTCCAGGCTCAAATACAGATTTAAAGTATTACAGTACAACTGTGTAACACTGGTGTAATGTCCGTCTCACATCAGGTAGAAGTCAATCTCTGTATTTACTCATATTATGAGGATAAATACTTGTATGTACCCGTGTGACAGCAGCTCCTCCACCACAGGATAGTGTCCGTGGCGAGCGGCGAGCATCAGCGCCGTCCAGCCGCTGTTTCCTGCCTGGTTGATGAGCGAGGGGACGTGGGACAGCAGCGAGGTCACCTGGGTGACGTGTCCTCTGGCTGCAGCGTCCAGAAACTTCTCCAGCAGCTCCTCCTGAGCACTCGGCTGGACGCTCATCGTTCTGCCGGGTCCCTGAGGACGAACCTGGAGTTCAGCTGAGGTGAGGAGACGTTTCCACTGAATCATATATTTAAAAAAGGTTTCTAACACTGTCGCAGTAGTACTTGTGCTTTTCTAATGAGAAACTGAGTATTTACAGTAAAGTACTTTAAGTAATTTTTACTTAAAAACGTATTAAGTACATGTTATTTACTAGTAATGGAGTATTTCTTACAATGTAGCTTTAGTACATTTAACCTCAACTATTAGTACTAGTACTTATCACTTGCAATTGTGCAGTATACATTTACATATGTAACAGTTTGTCTTTTACTTTTAAAAGACAAACTGTAGTCGTGTATTGTACAGTAGTATTAATACTTGTACTTCAGTACATCAGCTGGACGCTGTGCCTTTAAATATGTCGCGCCTCCTCCTCGTCCTCTCATTGGTGGAAACATCTGTCAATCAAATCTCTCGCTGTTACAAAACATTACAAAACAGCTGGAGACAAACACGTGGTTCTGTTTTCACAACAACAACAACAACAACAACAACAACAACAACAACATTAACGCGCTGTGGTCTCTGTACTGAGTCATGTGACCTGTCGTTACGTCATCTACGTAAAACAAACCAGGAAGCTGAAGAGAATCTGACGTAACTGCAGAAGATTCAACAACTTTGTTCTCAGATGAAACTAAACCTGAGATTAAACCTGAGATTCAATTAAACCTGAGATTAAACTAAACCTGGAATTACCCAGAGGATCTGAGATACAACCTGAGTGAATCCGGTTCGAACCAACCTGAGTGAATCCGGTTTAAACCAACCTGAGTGAATCCGGTTTAAACAAACCTGAGTGAATCTGGTTCAAACAAACCTGAGTGAATCCGGTTCGAACCGACCTGAGTCTCGACCTTCGTCCTGAAACGGAAACGACAGAAACGTAGAAGAAGCTTCGACCTTCAGCTTCGTGAGGAAACTCGAGATGCGTTCAAGAGCAGCAGCCACCGTGATGCATTCAGGTCCACACCACACCTCCGTAAAGCACAGAGTTGAACCTGTTACATGAACAGGTGGAGGGTGAAGTCCAGTTCTTATATAATCATTCATTCGTTCATCTTATATAAAGTTTAATTCATTAATATTCAAACCAAACCGGAGATTTTTACATTAAGAGAATAAAACTATTTCTGCTTGAATCCGTGTTGAGATCATTTCCAGTAAAACAATGAATTCATATTTAAACAATAAATCTAATCTCATAAAATATAACAAAGGTCAATGTTTTGACTTGGTGAATTTTCTCATCAGAAATGTTTAAATCTGTTCTAATGCACAGTTCTGCTGTTTTCACGGTTCAAGCTGTTCAAGCTGCTGCTCATTAGATATGTTTTAATTCAAACATTTATTCAAATTCAAAACTGATTTACCACATTTTATAAAGAACAAATAAAATGCTGACGACTCTGTGAATCAACCGAAGAAACAGAACGTCCTTCATTACAGAATGATATCACATGAAGTTTCATTTGAACAAGAGAAAATAAAATGATCCTTAAATAGGAAAACAAATTCAAAAATTGTTGCTTAGTGAATATTTTAATAAAATAATACACAAAATAATGTTATAAGAGG